CTCAGCCTCTGACCCCCTCTGCCTGCAGCCCAGCCAGGCGCCTACCCCTCCCTGGGCTGATATCTCTCTCCACAGAGGTTCCCGCTGGGCGCCTCCCCCAGGATGGCTTCCACCTCCGGACCCCCTGCTTTCAGGCTGGGGACCTATGGAGGCTGGGAAGATGGGGCTGATGTGGACACAGGACAGCGGGGCCTTGGGGCTGTGCTGCCCCCCATGGACTCACCGTATGTGCCTGAAGACAGAAACTTCTCCCCTCAGATCAAAGTCAACCTCAACTACCGAAAGGCAGCAGGTGCCAGGTAAGGCAGTAAATGGGGTTCAGCCCGGGGTCCCTCACTTCCAGCAGAGCACTCGGTGCCCCTTCCCCACAGCCTGCGGGGTCCTCATTCTGACTGTGACAGCTCCTGGCCCTTCGCTGCCCGTGGGCTCTGTGCCTGGAGGTGCTGGGCTGGCACCGACTAAGGGGACCCAACTGTGCAGTGAGCATTGGAATTGCCGGCTACCTTCTATGTCGAACCTGTAGTCTAAAAAGTTGATTTTAGAGAGGAAGGGAGAGGGAGAGAGAGAGAGAAATGGCAATAGGAGAGAGAGAAACATCAATCTGTTCCCTCTTGAGCTCACCCCAACCAGGGATCAAACCAAAACCAGGCGTGTGTCCTGACCAGGAATTGAACCAGCAATCTTTCTGTGCACAGGGCAATGCTCAGCCCACTGAGCACCCCGGCCAGGGTGTGACTGGCTTCTGTCAGTTAGCCTAATTTTTTTAAGGTTCATCCATGTTGAGCATGTACCAGTACTTTATTCCTCTTTGTGGCTGAATAGTATTCCATTGTATGGAGAGATCACATTTTGTTTTCCCACTTAACAGTTGGTGGACACTGGGTTGTTTCCACTCAGCTATGATGGATAACGCTGCTGTGAACGTTTGTGTAAGAGTGTGTGTGGGCATCTGCTTCCGTTTCTTTGGAGTACCTGGCCGAGTGGCATTGCTGGGTTGAATGGTAACCCACTAGCAGAATATGAGAAATTCCAATTTCTCCACAACCTCACCAACGCTTGTAGTACCCATCTCTGTTATCTGGCCATCCTGGTGGGTATGAAGTGGTATCTCATAGTGGTTGTGGATTTGCCTAATGGCTACCGATCTGAGGACTTTTTATGAGCTGCTGTTGCATTTGGGGTTGTCTGCCCAATTGTCATTGTCACTTGATGTGATGATGCCTCTGAGGGATTTGAGGGTCTCCACTTGCTCTCCGTTCCCCCCAACAGTACAGTAATGCCCTCTGCATTATGATTGGCCACCCAGTCTTTCAAAGCCTTCTTGTGCTGGGCACTGTTCTGGGTACTGGGATACAGGGGGGGGGAAATAAATAAATTTTTTTAAAAAAAGGCAAGATCTCACCCCGTGGAGAGCTG